TAACCATTCCTCAGGTATATGTCCGAAAAATAGAATTTTACAATCAAAGGGTATCACAGATTCAAAGATATTTTGTGAGGCATTGTGTATTTCTTTTCAATATTTCTTAATAACCGAGCAGTCCCAGAAAATGTGATAGTGATTTGCCTTTTGATTTCTGCATTTCCTCCAGCATATAGACAAATTTCCAGCATGATATGAATTCTGGGAGGGTGTGATAATATTTTTTTTGTTAAACACTTCCAACCAAATTCCCTCCATTTTTGTGATTTAGAATATTTCCATTGATACCTTCATATTTTTGTCCATTCATCCTCAGATTAACATTTCCTCCTCCTTTCTCACACTTAGATCATTTTACGTTGAAAATCTGTTTTATAGGCTTTTCTAGTTCATGCAACTTCAATGCTAATGCTTTACTGTATTTAGTAAATCCTGACAGTAGTTTTTTAATACCAAAGTGAAGTTTCATAAACTAATTTCGAGAGGAGCACGTGATATGATTGAGCACAGCTGGCCACTCATTTGTAATCAGTAATAATCTAATTTGAGTGATCCTAGCTTACTATAAATGGATCACTTTCTACCCCTTTTCCCTATCTTCATTTCGGAAGAATCCCCCCTACCCCCCTTTCTCCCACTTTTTCTCCCCTTTCAAAAGGGGGAACTATCGAGACCTACCTGATCTCGGATCCTCTGATATGCGTATTGACCGGGCGGGAGCCCTGGGCTCAAATATCTCCGAGCTCAGGGTTCTCTCCCGGGACAGCATGCCAAACCTGCTATAAATGCTAAGCATATCTAGGTGGGAACTCTTGAAATAGGGTTTGTGTGCTGATATTACAGACTTTTAAATACTTTCAAATATTTGTGCGAGTAAATTTGACTGTAAACCTATTATTTATTATTTTTATTAGTGAAATAAAGCTTAGAAATACTACTAAAATAAATATTAATATAAAGATTTTAGGTATTATTTAGGCTGAAGCTAAACTAAAATAAAGTAAAGCTAATCAAAAACTTTTTAAGCCCCTTTTGTCAAAAAAACTACCAATTTGCTGCTTAGTAGTTAGTAATGTAGTAATTAGGTTTAAGTACTGGGTAGGATAAGGATTTAACATCACACTTATACAATCATACAGAATAATATCATACTTTATAAGTACCTTTATAAGTACTAATAAACAATAAATAATAGACACGTAACAATCCAGTGGTTAATAGTGAAAATTGGTACTTAAACTAAAATTTTACCAAGATTTTAAACAATTAACAAATAATTCCAAACCTCCTGTGTATTTCAAGGCAATTGTTCACTGGCTATAGCACAATTGAATACACAGTGATTGAGTAGGACATTTTTTTTCTAAAGTTGGATAAAAAACATTTAATATCTTAAAAAATGAAGAACAATGACTTCATAGAAAGTACATTTGCCTAGCTATTACTCTAATAAACAACTCAAGCTTTAGAACAAAGTCAAAACATTTATTAAATTAGCTTCATTATTTCATAAACATGTAAATTTTAGAATGTCCTACTTAATGATTTTCTATCAGTCAAAACGAGCTTCTACTTTCTATATAAGCAAACATGTATGTTTTAAGAATATTTAGGAGTTGACATATAACAGTTTTAAAAGCTCTACTGAAAACAACAGCCTGAAGTCAGAAACTCACCGAAGGCATGAACATCTTGAACAGCAACATTGAATCCTGTTAAACAAACCAAAGGTACAAATTAAATTATTTGTACAATTAAAACATTGTGTAAAATTAAGATTTAAAATTTTATGTTTTATACTGTGGTCGCAGTTGCTGACAATATTCAAATATTTAATAATTACGTATTACAAAATATAATTATCAGAGGTAATAAAGAATACACTTTACTAACCAAGCACTACCAGGCCCAGAAGAATCCTCGACATTGTAGATTTTCCATGTAACGCAATTGGTGAGGTTTTAGTCTCATTTAAGTTACTAACTTATTTGAATAACTAAAGTTCTGTCAATGTCAGAAACACAAAGTCTGACGTTTTCAGTGAGGAGTAAGTTGATGCACAGCTAGCTGGCTAACTAGCACCCCTGAAATCCTAAACTGCTCCTGTTCACCACCTTATTATAAATCTTTTCATTATTTTTCATAACGTACGCATATAAACAAAAGCGTCCATTTATTTAGCAAATAGCACATCGCGGTTTAGGCACAGAAGCTACCTGTGGGACTGCACGGCTAACATGCTAACGCTGGCCTGAGGTGGAAAAAAAAGAGTTAAGTTATTCGTCCAGCGAGGTTAATTAATTATTGATGTATCGACAAGGAATAATCAAGTAAATCAAAATCAAGAACTGTTTCGTGAGTTGGTGCTGTTTGTGCGTAAGGTAATCCCACAAACGTCATAATCCAGACTGGCGACGTCCGACTCGTGAATGATTTGTTCTACTGAATCGAATCTTTTCATGAACCTCCATAAACCCTATCGGTTCCTAGTGAATCAACAGAACCAGACAGCTAACAAGATCGTTTTCAGGGAAGCTAAGAATAAATTCATTTATCAAACAAATAGTAAGATTCAAATAAATATCAAACATTTTAGAATAAATCACTTTATATTAATATGAATTATATAAATATAAACATTTTATAATCGTGTAAAAGAAACCAAATCAACCCATCTGAGTATAGAAGAAACAGATACATTAAATAAAACTGGATTAAAACAATCTGGTAATTAAGTAACGAATAAAAAACAGATTAAAATTCTAGATTAGATTAAAATGAATAACATTAATAAAATATAATAGAACAATAGAAATAAAATATATATTAAAATAAGTAGATAAATGTGCAAATAGTTAAATTAATTAATATCCAACATAAATCATAAATTATGTATAAAATGAAAATATATAAAAAGAGCAGATAACATGCCAGGATACTAAAGAACTACGCGATGACGTATGCGTCAGAAACACAGGAATCATGGAATTGAACAGATTTGTTCAAATGAACAGTTTATACGAACCGATTCGCTGCAGCGAGTCACTGTCCCGTCAGTTATTCAGATGAGGAGAATGTAATGAAGGTGTGTGTGTGTGTGTGTGTGTGTGTGTGTGTGTGTGTGTGTGTGTGTGTGTGTGTGTGTGTGTGTGTGTGTGTGACTGTGTGTGTGACTGTGTGTGTGTGTTTATGACGTTGCGCAAGGCCTGCGTACTAAAACCTTGCCGATTTGCCCTGGGCGTGAAGTTTTTACCTCAGTGTTAGGTTTAGATTGGAAAAATAACACCGAAACCACATAAATATATTCTAACCATTGCTTTGATGAGTGACCTAAACTATAATCTTTTGAGTAAAGTATCCAGCACATCTTCCAGCACAAGCTCAACAATCTAATTCCAGATAGTTATGGGTGTTTATCATTTTTGATGAAACGTTTGGACTATTTGTTTCCTTTCCTTTTTATATATATATTTAGCCTATTGCAATTTATTCATTTATCGTTTTATTGACAATTTAACAATAATGATTAAGTTTTAACTGATTCCTACCACCACTTTTATATGAACTGGTTCTGTGAAAATCACGTTTGATAATTCTAGTTTTAAATAAAAGGCTTGTAGCGACATCAAGTGGATAAAATGAGAATTAGACTACAAAATAAACACCTTTTTTTGCACCGGCAGCACTTTTCATTGGAAACCGAGAGCTTTTATGCAAGAATGCGAAACATTACAGCTATTACAATATTTACTAATAGTCTTTGTTAAATGTATAATGATTATATTACACTATGATTTAGTATTCAAAAATGTTTTATTTTGATTCTGTTTTTAAATAAATTGGTCTTACATTTGCAATGTTTTAAAGATTTTTCATAGTATATATATTAATTACAGTACTTTTACCATAAACCGACATATGGTAGAGGTTAATCAAATCAAATAATTTTTAATACAAATCACTATAATAGTTTAAATATTATGGGATGTGTTGAAAAAAAAAATGCATTGAGTGTGGTAACTAGCGACATTAGGAGTTAAGACATGCAATCCAAATGTTTTTTTTTTTCTCGGTGGGGCAGTTAAAGTCACTTTAAAAATATGCTACTTTAAAGTGTGTTGCTATTTATTAAGAGTAAGATAGTCTTTAAAAATGTAATACAGGCCTGTTACTTTGTTTTACTCAACACCCGTTATCAGACTTTGATTGAATAAAACAAAAGTGAACACTAACAAGATAATAAAAATCAAGCCCATATAGCCAGGAGTGTTTTGGGTGGTTCAAAAGACCCACCTCTCACTGACAAAGGTCCAGAATTTGTCCCATACATAACCTCATTTGTCTTATTTTGACTAATATACCATCATAAATTGTGAAAACTTACAGAAAAAAAAGGCTTTAAGGCCAAGAGGAATCCTCTGTTGACCGTCTCATCAATGTGACTTCAGCTAATCAGTTTTGATCAATGCACAGAATTATTTTTCATGAGTTTAACATCCAGCTGTGCAAGAAAACACACAGTCTGACGTGAGAGAAGTCTTCTTTCTCTAGTGTATCGTTTTAGAGAAAATAAGAGAAAACATTTTACAAGTAACTTTTATTCTAAATGCTGGACCTTATTCCTGAAACAGAAATGACCAATAAAAAGATGTGAAGCACAGAAGGCGGCCCATATTAAAATTAATTTAAATACCATTTTGGCTAATGCTGTCATCCATGAATATTCAAATGTACTTTTTTTTAAGAGAGGCTAAAAAAAAACATTAAGCTCTACATTTTTTATTAATAATATTGTTTAAAATTTTATTATTCAAATGGCCAAATTCTGACTGAGGAAAGTTGAATGTGCTGGCCAGTTTGTTATTTGCCTAATAAATGACAATAGGCTACAGTTTTTAATTTAAAACTTCAACAAATGTAAATTTTGTTTCTAATAGTATATGATATAATACATTTGTATTTAAAAATAAGTATTTATTCATATTTTTTTTGCTTTAAATCTTTAGGAAATGTTTTCGTTACATCAAACCATGTGCTTATGATGACCACTCGACAAACTAATCCAGCTAAAAGTAGTGCTTACAATGACACACATATCATTAAATATCATAATTAAATAGAGAATGAGGCGAATAAACCCCCAAAAATATCCACTTTTTGAGAAAACAGAACCACCCTTTCACTAGGCTGGCTACAGGCCTGAAAGTCATGCTTAGTGTCGACCAAAACACTTGTTCCATTCATAGCCATTAACACTTGTAGCCTATTTGCATCTTTCCCGAGAAGTGCACTAGTTCAGAGGTAGTTTTCATCCCATTCACGTGCATCGAGCGTTTCTTCCCTCATCGACCTACTTCTGTTTAATTGGATAAGCGTTCAGTCTCAACATAGAGAGAAAGAGAGCGAGGCCGGCTGGACGCGCACCGTACAAACCGTTACATCCACCTGAAAATAAAGCGTTCACGGGGTCTGCACATTCCACGCTGACGTCACAGCGGACGGAGTAATGGAGCAGCCGTCGCTCGAAAACAAGTCCGTTATGATTTTATGAAGTGCACTTTGCAATATTTCCTCACGACAGCGCTAAACACACGCACGGAAGGTCCCACGGAAAGCAAGTGAACAACAGGTGGATTCCGAGGCCAATCCAGCCCTGGAAGTAGCCATACTTCTGTCTCTCTCTCTCCGCCCCTACGTGTAACCATAGCAAAGACACCGTAAAATCCAGCGTACCGGAAAAAGCTGCATTACGCGCTCGCGATATGGCACATTTCGGCTGCGACGTGACATTGGAGGCATTAAGGACAAGACTTGACCACTGACACGCTGACTTCATTCGGAATTATGACAGTTTACATTTGATATCTGCTACTGAGAGCCGGTGGGTTTCTGTCCCAAGAGAGTGTTTGTAGACTTTTGGAGTTATAATGCCTGTCAGTAACGGATCCATGATGGATTTGCCGTCGGAGTACGTGAAAATTAAAGCACACTACGGAGGGTGAGTGTTGTAAACTTTGACAGGTTAATGTACTAAAGTCGCCAGCCCTATCGCGGTGACAAAGGTCGGATTGTTTACGGTGTTTGGTAGTTTATAATGTAAGCAGAACGTTTTTTTAAAGCACTTCTTCATTCCAGCACCTGACAAACTTTGACATGTTGGATGTTTAGCAAAGGCATATTTTGTATTTTTTTGTCAGTTCGCTTTTATAGCTAACAGTTAAACGTGTCATAAAATATACTTGTCTTTTTAACTGATTTTAATACAGAAATATCAAATATACATACTTATATGTTCCCAATCACAACATAATTTGACATATTCCTAACTATGTTACTCTCATATAAAAAATATTGCAAAGGATGTTTAAAATTACATACAAATAACAAACACACATTTAGCTAAAAAGAATAACGTAAAACCTTTGTATGTAATTGAAAGTAAGCTGTTTTATTGTAGACAGAGTAGGATGCCACCATATTGAAGTCACATGACCAACAGTGCCATGCTGTTGACCAATTTACTGGTGAATTTTTGACCAGATAAAAGTAAACATATGCTCAACTTGGTACAATGTTAAATATAAAATATTGTGAAGGGCTGAAGGTTGTGCTCTTATTACAATACGTCTTGTGTTATGTTACATATTACATCGGCACATTCTTCTTTTACAAGAAATTTATCAGTATTATAAAAGTTAATAATCACTACCAAAACAAACAAAAAAATCTGTAGATGTTATTGGCTGTTTTGAGATGTTATCGTTCATTCATTCATTCATTCATTTTCTTGTCGGCTTAGTACCTTTATTAATCCGGGGTCGTCACAGCGGAATGAACTGCCAACTTATCCAGCACGTTTTACGCAGCGCAAACCAGCCGCAAACCATAGGAAACAACCAGCTTGTCTTTAGCATCAAAACAAAGGCAGTTTTAATTCTGTAAAAGAAGCCTAAAGTTACTTAAAATTTTTCACCAATTGCTGAGTATGAGATTTAAAAGAAAGTGTATTAACAATTAAAATTCCAAGATATTTGTACTGGGACACCAATTCAATCTCTGCGTAGTAGCAAAGACTATAGAATACACAAGACTCGTCATTCGTATCTTTTTGAATTGGGAAAAGTGTAACTGTCAATATGTTGAATAAAGACCCGCCTACCAGTATAGGAGCCAATCATCGATCGCTATAAACTGACGATCCTCTGGGGGAGGGGCTCGGACCAGACAAGAAGATTTTTTGAAGATTTGGACGAAATGAAACTTGGAGAAATTAAACTAAAGGGACAGTTGTGGTTACATTTTATTGGTGATTTCTAATATGAAATTCAATCGTAAGTTTGGTAAGCAGGTTTGGATAATTTGATGTTTCCCTATTCAAACAGAATGCCAGAGCATACTGCTCAAGAGGTGTTTCAAAGATGGCTGCTGAATGAAATGACTTGCCTTAAAGGGACTTTGGTAGTAGTAATAGAACCTAGCTTTTGCTTAGTTTGTTTTAAATTGGAAAATAACATACGTTTTGTTTTATCCACAATTAAAACTAGTTTTAACATAATATTAGATAAATTATGTTAGAGTACATTAAAAGCAATCTGCTATACATACTCGTATAATACTCAGCTAAAGTTTTGAGTTGTATAAATTAAAAAAAAAATCTGCCAATAGGCTGAGAGATTTGTTTAAGAGGTAAAAGAAATAGAAAATAAAATTTTGCTGTTAATTTAGTCACCATTAGGCTAGGGGTGAACTGATAAATGTTATTATATCGAATCGCAATACAATTTATATCAATAACAATGATAAGCTCTGGACTTTTTTTAAAACTCTAAGGCAAGGCAAGGCAAGGCAAGTTTATTTATATAGCACATTTCATACACAATGGCAATTCAAAGTGCTTTACATAAACAAGAATAAAAGAAACAAGTAAAATAAAAATAAAAACAAATAATAAAAATGCATAAAAACAAAACAAAACATAAAAACAGGTAAAATGTGATATAAAAGAATGAAGAAGAAAAGAAAATCATAATAGTGCAATCTGTCGGACGCAGCACAGTGCTCATTCAGTAAAGGCACAGCTAAACAGATGTGTTTTCAGTCTTGATTTGAATGTGCCTAATGTTGGAGCACATCTGATCATTTCTGGAAGCTGATTCCAGCAGCGAGGGGCGTAGTGGCTAAAAGCCGATTCACCCTGCTTTGACTGAACTCTTGGAACTTCTAGTTTATATGATCCTAAAGATCTGAGTGATCTGTTAGGTTTGTATTGAGTGAGCATATCTGTGATATATTTAGGTCCTAGGCCATTTAGTGATTTATAGACCAGTAATAATACTTTAAAATCTATTCTGAATGTAACTGGCAGCCAGTGTAAAGACCTGAGGACAGGCGTGATGTGCTCTGATTTTCTGGTTCTGGTCAGAATTCTGGCTGCAGCGTTCTGGATGAGCTGCAACTGTCTGACTGTCTTTTTAGGAAGACCAGTGAGGAGGCTGTTACAGTAATCCACCCTGCTGCTGATAAAAGCATGAACAAGTTTTTCTAAATCTTCACTAGAAACAAAGCATCTGATTCTTGCTATGTTTTTGAGATGATAGTATGCTGATTTACTGACTGCTTTGACATGACTGTTGAAACTCAGATCTGACTCCAGAGTCACACCAAGATTCTTGACCTTATTTTTTGTTGTTTGACCTTTAGTGCCAAGGTACGCATTTACCTTGAGAACCTCATCTTTGTTTCCAAACACAATCATTTCAGTTTTCTCTTTGTTTAACTGAAGAAAGTTTTGGCACATCCAATTGCTCATTTCATCAATGCATTGGCAGAGGGTGTCAATGGGGCTGTAGTCATTAGGCAGTAAGGCTAGGTAGATCTGAGTGTCATCAGCATAGCTGTGGTAGGAGATTTGGTTCTTTCTCATTATTTGGCTTAGAGGGAGCATGTAAAGGTTGAACAGCAGAGGTGCCAGAATCGAGCCTTGTGGGACTCCACACGTCATGGGTGTCCACCTCGACCTATGGTCACCTATACTGACATGGTAACCTCTACCTTCTAGGTAAGATCTAAACCATTTGAGGACCGTGCCAGACAGCCCAACCCAGTTTTCCAGCCTATCCAGAAGTATGCTGTGATCGACAGTGTCAAATGCAGCACTGAGATCCAACAATACCAGCACTGTTATTTTACCTGAATCTGTATTTAGGCGTATATCATTGATTATCTTTATAAGAGCGCTTTCTGTACTGTGATGTGCTCTGAACCCCGATTGAAAATTGTCTAAACACCCCCTGAAGTTTAAGAACTTGTTAACCTGGTTAAAAACAACTTTTTCAATGATTTTGCCAATGAAAGGGAGATTTGAGATTGGCCTGTAATTGCTCAATAGGGTGTTATCCAGGTTGCTCTTCTTCAAGAGGGGTTTAACAACTGCAGTTTTAAGTGAGGTTGGAAAAATCCCTGATAGAAGTGAAGCATTTACCACTTTTAGAAGATCTATTTCTAAACAGGTAAACACCGTTTTGAAGAATGATGTGGGGAGCGTGTCAAGACTGCAGGTTGATGTTTTCATAACTTGCACAGTCTCTTCTAAGATTTTGCTGTTAATTGCCATGAAATCAGACATAATATCTGATTTCTTAAGTTGTGGTTGAGCTAGTTTGATATTGACACAACTTGGCTGATTGGATGAGCTGATTGCCTTTCTGATATTATTAATCTTATCAGTGAAGAAATGAGCAAACTCATTACATTTGCTTTCAGAGAGGAGCTCACTTGGAATCTGACTGGGGGGGTTTGTGAGTCTCTCTATCGTTGCAAAGAGTGTACGAGCATTATTTAAGTTGCTGTTTATAAGGCTTGAAAAGAAAGTCTGTCTAGCAGTGTTTAGTTCCATATTAAAGGCATGAAGACTGTCTTTATAGATGTTATAATGGACTACTAGTTTTGTCTTTCTCCACATACGCTCAGCTTTTCTGCACTGCCTTTTCATCATTTGTACTCTCGGTGACCTTGTCCAAGATCCCTTTTGCCTGCCAGTCATCTTCTTGACTTTAACAGGAGCGATGTCATTTATGACATTCTCAATTTTAGAATTGAACAAATCAAGGAGAGAATCAACAGAATCTGCAGATATACTTGGTGCTAGCGATATGGCCTTCATAAACTGCTCACTAGTGTTATCATTTATGCATCTCTTTCTGACAGAGACAGATCTGTCTTTAATAGCTGGAGTGATCAATATATCAAAGAAAATACAGAAATGATCAGATAGTGCCACATCCTTAACAACAGTTGATGAAATGTGTAAACCCTTAGTTATAAGTAGATCAAGAGTGTGTCCACGATTGTGTGTGGGTCCTTGAACATGCTGAGTCAGATCAAAAGTGTTAAAAACAGTCATCAGTTCTTTTACAGCATTGATTTCTGGATTATCAATGTGAATATTAAAATCCCCAGCAATACTAAAATAATCAAATTCAGAGGTTACAATTGATAACAGCTCTGTAAAATCCTCAATAAAAGTTGGAGAATATTTTGGAGGTCTGTAGATAATGATCAGTAAGATGCGTGGAGCACCTTTTAGTGCTATACTCAGATATTCAAAAGACAGATAGTCACCAAATGATACTTGTTTACATTCATACACATCTTTAAACAGGGCAGCGATGCCTCCACCTCTCCTATTAGCTCTGCAAACACTCAAAAAGTCAAAGTTTAAAGGAGCTGCTTCATTCAGAACTGCTGCGCTACAACTGTCATCTAGCCAAGTTTCAGTTAAAAGCATAAAATCAAGGCAATTTGTGTTGATAAAATCATTGACTAAAAGAGACTTATTGTTGAGTGATCTGATGTTTAAAAGCGCTAACTTAACAGTTTTAGCTGTTTTTTCTATAGTAGTCTCAGATCTACATTTAATAGACACCAGATTTGAATGATTTGCTAAACGGCCTGATGAAGTCTTTGGTTTTCTGTCACTTAACACAACACATATCTGCT